GTGTGGAGATTCCTTAACCTGCTAAAGATGGAGCTTCCATATGATCCAGCAGTTCCACTCCTAGATATTTACCCAAAGGACACAGAAACATTCATTCAAAAGGGCACCTGCACCCCTATGTTTATAGCAGCACTATTTACAATAGCTAAGCTATGGAAACAACCCAAATGCCCAAAAATAGATGACTGGATCAAAAAGATGGGGTACATATACACAATGGAGTATTACTCAGCAATCAAAAAAGATAAACTCATGCAATTTGTAGCAACTCATGCAATTTGTAGCATGGATGGAGCTGGAAGGGCTCATGCTCAGCAAAATAAGCCAGAAAGAAAGAGAAAAATACTGGATGGTCTCACTCATAGCAGGATTTTAGAAAACCTAAATAAGGGACCAGGAAAAAGACTAAGTATAATAAAGTAAAAATCAAAATCAACAAGCAACTATAAACCTTTAGTCATTCTTTCAGAATAAGTTTGTGGGCAACAAATTCTCTTGGTTTTCCTTATATGAGAATGTCTTGATTTCTTCACTGGATATAGAAATTTAGGTTAACAGTTCTTTTATTTTAGCACTTGAAAAATACTTAGCCATTTCCTTTTAGTCTCCATTGTTTCTGATGATAAACCCCCTGTCATTCAAATGGTTTTTTCCTTAAAGGGAAGGTGTTATTTTTATCTTACTACTTTCTAGACTTTTTTTCCTTTAGCTTTCAGAAGTGTTATAATTATGTGTCTTAATGTGGATTTCTTTGGGTTTATCTTGTTGAGGTATATTCAGTTTCTTGAATCTGCAGATTTATATCTTCTGAAAAATTTGGAATATTTTAGCCATTACTTACTTTCAAAAATACAATACAGCATTATTAACTACAATCATGTAATTCTGGGTATTATGACCCCAGGACTGACTTAACATTAAAACTGGTAGGCTGTACCTTTGGACCACCTTCAACCATTTCACCTGTCCCCAAACCCCCTCCCTCTGGCAATTACGAATCTGTTGTTTGTATTTATGAGTTTTGATTTTTGTTTTATATTCTACATATAAGTGAGAGTGTATGATATTTGTCTTTCTCTGGCCATAATTGTTAGTGTCTTTATGATTGCCATCTAAAAATCTTTGTGACATAGTTCTAGCATCTTTAGCATCTCTGTATTATTGTGTAGTCTTTTTTCCACTCAGTTTAAGAACTTCCTGTTTATTGATATAATTGATTTTCAACTGAAGCCTGGACATGTTGGTATTGTGCTTTAAGACTCTGGATATTATTAAAACCTTCAGTTTTAGCTGGTTTCCTCTGACACTTGTACCAACAGGGAAAGGGGGAGGTGCAACTTCAGTACTGCCCGGTAGAAATCCAGATTCCCCATTCTGCCTCCATTGACAACTAAGTCATGGAGAGGGGCTCCTCATTACTACTGGGAATTCAAGAGATTGAGAATTTAAGCTCCCCACTAAACCTTCATTGATGACTGCCTAGTTGGGAGTGGTAGGAGTCTCCACTGACACACACATGATCTCCACTGCCAACTGAGGGAGGGGGTTGCCTCCTTACTGCCATGCAAGGATGAATCTCCATTTAGCCTTCTCTAACACCATCTTGGGAAGGGTGATGGGTGCCCTTTTGCAGTCTGGTAAGGGAAGAAGTCATACTTTTTTCTGTGGTGTTTTGCGGTAGTAGATTATTTTCTAAAAATTTTCTCACTTGCTAGGCTGCTCCTTTCTTAGTCCTATCTATGGCAGGAGAGAACCAGAATTTTTTTTTTTTTTTTAATTTCTGGGTCTACTGGCATTTCTGGGTTGTTGGCTTCTCCAGCACCCAATCTGAAGTGCAAGTTATACCCATTTCTTAGATGAGAAAATGGAAGCTTAGAAAAGTAAAATTTATGTCCAAGGATATTTCGTTATAAACATTTATTTGATTCTAAGCCTGTTTGTTTTCAGAGGTAATGCTCACAACTACTTGCATATACTTTTTGGGTTATTGGTCAGGAAGTGGGAATCTTCATGTAAGGATTGTTGGTAGTTAAGAGATTTATTTTGCTTTTAATTTCTCCAGTCACTTTATTTTGCCCAGATTCATTTTTTCATAAATTGTAAATCCAGAAACATTCACAGCTAGTGTTTTTCTTTTCTTATTATCTATCACTTATCAGTTATAGGAAGCATCATTCCCCTTGAGAGTTAAAAGAATAAACTGAGAATTTTAAATTATCATTCCTGAAAAACAAAAATTTAATTTATCAACTTTCTATGAGCTTTATAGTGTCTCAGGAGAGTACCAGGAAGTAGAGGAAAATATGTTATCTTTGTATGAAACCTTTACTCACTTATAGAGAATGGATGAGTTGTTGTCAAGACTATTTACGTTTCTCAAAAGGTAGAGTTAAAGAAGAATTTAAAAAAATAGTGAAATCAGAAGAGCAGAGAGCACAAACAATGCCAAATTTAAAAGTATACAATAATCTAAACACTTTAACATATTAATTCCTAAAACTATTTTAAAATATTAAGTGAATTAAATAAGCAGGTTTTATAAAAAAAAGACTTGAATACTATGCAGTTTGTTGAGATCGTATGTATTCTTAGAATCAAAATTGTTTTGGAAAAAAGATTCATCTTCTTAATTGAAATCTATTTTGTCTGTCTGTTAGCTGGCCTGGTATATATTTATGTGGCAAAAGTTACTGACATGCTTATTATTAACACTGCAGAGAGGAATAACAATATGAGCTGCCATGTATAGCCTTGAGTACATAAATCCTTACTTTACTCTTCTTCCATTGTGAAGTCCCCTTAACATTCCAGTGGCTTACACTGGGATTTTTCTATGTCAATCTGCAGGGGCATTCCAATGGAAGTTATTCAAATTTCACATTAATTTCACATTACTGTGTGTTCCCAGAATTACCAAGTCTTCTAATAGTGATGTAAAAAGTTGTTGTAATAGCATTTCTTTATAAGGACTTGGAAGCTGGTATTTGACTCTATAATCTTGTTTTGAGGTCAGGATGTGCTTTTCTAGTCAAACGATTTTCTCTTTAGCAAGTTACCATGATTTGTTTGGTAGGTAGAGAACTGGTCTGATAGTAGACAGTTTTGTTTTTGCCATAAATCCTTTGTATGGGAAGGGTGCTCTGGTATAGAGAAGCAACTTTCAAAATATTTTTGTATTTCAGTTTTTGAAATTAATCAAAATACTATGTGGTTTAAACAAAATATCTGTGAGTCCAGTATAGGAGAGATTAAAAACTGTTCCATTCTGGAAGGAGTAGAAGGAGAAATAGGACCACAGCTCTGTCCCTTCATTGCTACACTCAATATGGAAAGTATTTTCTGTTGAAACGCTTAGAAGAGGGCACACAATTTGAAAAACCTCCAGAAAATACAAAGAGCACTAGATCTAGATTAGGACTCCAAAGACCTAAACTATATACCCCAGTCCTGCCCTTTGCAAGCCATATAACCTCTGTGGTTCCAAATTTCCTCATCTGTGCAATGAAGAGATTGAGCCAGGTACCTTTCAGCTCAAATGTTGGAGGGAACCATTAGCAAGTATACGCAAATCACAAAACTTTTGTGTTTTATCAGTTCCTTATTGCAAAATAAGATGGCCCCTGAAGCTAAAAAAAATTGCATGCCTACCTCAAAGTTGTAAGTATTAGGATATTTTTAGCCTTAGAATTTAAGGGATTTAAGAGAAATTTGCACTGTAAAGGTAAAATATAAAACTGTCCCATTCTAAGCAATTTCATTGTATCTTTCAAATAACCAGTAGTCTTTCCTTGATTGTCTCAGCAAAAATAGTGTGCCTACTATCTGACAGGAACTGAGCTAGGTATGCGAGATTGAAAAGATGGCTAAAGTGTATCCACTACTCTGTAAGCATTCATAGTTCCCTCCCTTCACATACTCAAGGTGGTGTGTTCTTAGCAATGCCTTCTTTTGATTGTGGTGCTGCATTCTTTCTAAATGGTAGAGATGGTCCTGCAAAGGGATCTATTAAAAACTTACTGAAAAAATGAAGTGCACTCATACAGAAAGAAAAATATACAAACAACAAAGAAAACTGGCTTTGTCGTAATGCTATTTTATCAACTCGAACAAAGACTATTTCGCTTTATAGCCGTAAAAAGCTTTGCTTTCAGAATAAGCAGAGTTCTCAAATATGAAGATAGTTTCCATTGTCTAGAAGTAGACAATATGCCCCCCCCCCTCCACCCGAACGGTTCTGGAGTACTAGTGGCTGCCTGAAGGGGATTAGGGCCAAGAGGGGAGAGTTAGTTGATGCCAACAGAGGCCTTTGAGGGTCTGGAGGAAGACTGTGGAAAGCCCATTCCCTCTAGACTTCACCCCAGATTCCCTTGCTGTGCTACTACAGCCTCGGGGCCTATCTCCCTTTGTTTTTCAGACTGGTAGATCTCCCCCAGTCTACAGATGCAAAGCCTCTCCCTTGGAGAGTGCCTCTCCCCAAGGTGGAGCTGCTGTCCACCCCTTACTCTAGACGCGGCTCCCCTCCCATGCAGCCACCCAACCGTTGACTCGTGTTCAAGGGCCACCACCATCATGCACCCCAGCACCATCTTCCAGGAACTGGCCTCTCCCCCCGCAGTCCCCGCCCCTCCTCTGAGTGCGCCCAATGGGTGGCGTCGGGGCCGCGGTGGGCGGGGCCTGAGGCGGGCGCATTTAAAGAAAGGCAGAGGGCGAAAGGAGGCAAGAGAGGAGAAGAAAGAGAAACCAGGGGGGCGAGGTGCCGTCCAATGACAAAGCCCAGGGGTGGGCGCCGGCCGCCATCTTGTACCGGGCGGCAGGATATTCGCCCGCGTCCTCCACCCTCGGAGGGGGAGGGGCGGCGGCAGCGAAGGCGAGAAAAGTAGCGAGAGACGCGCCGGGCAGGAGGCGCCAGCAGCGGCCGCCGCCGCGGAGCCGGACGCGGGTGGGGACGGGGCCGGCGGCAGCGGGACCCGGCGAGCGCGGGTGGCCCCGAGCGGCCTCCGATGCGGCGCAGCGTGAAGAGGCGGCGGCGCCGGCCCCGGCGGCTCCAGCCACGGCCGCCCGGGGCGGCGGCTGTAGGGCAGGAGGAGGGGCCGCGCTGGAGGCGCGGGAGGAGAAGGTGGTGTACTCGCGGTCGCAACTGTCGCTGGCCGACAGCACCAAGGCGCTGGGCGACGCCTTCAAGCTGTTCATGCCCCGCAGCACGGAGTTCATGAGCTCGGACGCGGAGCTCTGGAGCTTCCTCTGCAGCCTCAAGCACCAGTTCTCCCCGCACATCCTGCGCAGCAAGGACGTCTATGGCTACTCCTCCTGCCGGGCGCTCGTCCCCGACCCCCCGGTGTCCCCCGCCGCCCGCGGCCAGACGCGCAGGCCGGGCCGGGGCGCGGCGGCCAGGAGGAGGCGCCGCGGAGCCCGGGTGGCCGCCCTGCGCCGAAGGAAGCCGCCGCCGCCAGCGACGCCGCCGCCCCCGGCCCCCGCGGCCCGGCCGCGGAGGAGAGCTGCCCCTTCAAGCCCGCGGCCCCGGCGCCCTCCTTTGGGGCCGCACGCTGGAGGAGATCTGGAGGGCGGCCACCCCGACGCTGACCACCTTCCCCACCATCCGCGTCGGCGGCGACGTGTGGGGCGAGCGCAGCCTGGCGGCGGCGCGGCGCAGAGCGCGCCAAGTCCTGCGCGTGAACCTAGAACCCGTGGTGAGGCTCCGCCGCTTCCCGGTGCCGCGGGCGTGAGCGGCGCCCCCGCCCCGCGCCGCCCTCCGACCCCGACCCCCGACGGAGCTTCCGGCCCGGAGGGTGGGACAAGTGTCAGTCGAGTGTTTACAGATCCCGCCAGGACCCCGTCCCCTCGTGCACTTTACGGGCGAAGACGTCACCGGAGGGCTCTCCCCGCGCCGCGCCCCCGGACGGACAGACAGACGGGCGCGGCCGCCGTCGGGGACCCCGGGGCAGGTGCGCCCGCAGCGGCCTGTGGGCGCGGGACCGCGGAGGAGGGAGCCCGCTGGACCGCAGGGGGGGCCCTTTCATCCTCCCCCAGGTGGAGACGTCTCCAGGACTAGAGGGGCAGATCCGTTTTCTCCCTTTTGGACTCTACCTCACTGGTCTGGAAGCCCTCCGAAGAAGTCATTATTTTTCCAAAGGAATTTGTTTTCGTGCTTGTGTAATAAAAAAGCCAGAATTTATTTGCTGTTCGTCCCCTGCACCCTCCCTTTTTTTCCTTTCTGACTGCCACCCCTCTCTCTGGACGAAAGATTGAACATGTTTTGTGGTGTTGCACTAGTTTGTGCTCAGGGTATTCTGAATCCCGTTCACTTCCTAGATTTAACTGGATTCCAAAGCTTTGACCAAGGATTTTTTTTTTTTTTTAAGAGATTCAGGCTTAATGACTGTTAATAGTGCAAGGATTTGTATGGCTCTGAATTTGATGGGCTCAGTTATTACAGAGATGCAATGTACAACTGTTAAACATTTGAAGGTGTTTCTAAAGATTTTATATTGAGATTCAATGTTTATATTTACTGAGCACCTAAAGAAAAGGGTCGAAACTCATCAAGTTTTGTTTAGGACAAGTTGACTTGTTAAATTCGTTTTAATTGAATAAAAATTAAAGTGCATTGAAACCACATGACTTGTGATAAAAAAAAAAAACCGCAAATGAGTGAATTATAAAGATCTTGGTGTTGGTTAAAGATATAAGTGGAATCAAAATGGCGATTTGGCCTCCTTAACTGGCCTTAATTTACAAATCCAGGTATATTTGAAGGGTAACTTTAAAATGAGAATCACATAGGAGACATGAATGTGTGTAAACTTTATGACTAAAATGATAAACAGAATACCCATTAGAATTCTCAGAACTATTGATAATCTAGAGGGGTGGGAGCGTTTCTTGGCATCAGATAACTGGTTGAAGTTACTTTGGGCGAAATAGAGCTCTCCTTTGTTTTTGTTGTTGGGTCACAAGAAATGTCCAGACTAATATCCATCACTTTTATAAACAACATGACAATTAGTTGACTTTTTTCTTCATGAGTTTCCTTTTTTATCTTCTTGCCATTCATAGTTGCGTTTGCATTTATAGGTCTTTGTTTGACAGCTGCAGACCACAGGAATCACACAGGCGAGCCACACAGAGTACTGACCCTTCTTTTACACTTTTATAATAGTGTTTATACCATATGGCCCAGTGTGGAATTCTTGATTATCCAAGTGCCTTTGGTCATTGGTGGCAGCAAGAATTAATGGTTTTTCAGCCAGTGGTGCCACAGCCAGACTTTACTGCAATATCTAAAGGGTCAAATAGTGTTTTTGTACCGCTGTTATTTCAAATCTAAGTATTCTGCCATGGAAGGATCCATGCGGGGCTGGAACTTGACATATGAAGTCCTCAATATTAAGGTTTATTTCTGCTTGGCAGCTTCTTAGGAGAATGAAGAGAGTTTCAATTTTGACTCTTGTGTTCTTAGAATTCAAAAGGCATAGCTTTCTAAAATCAATTTTTCAAGTTTAGTAGTCTGTAGTGGGAGTGTTGTGATTTTAATTTCAGTGTTCTTTTTTGTAAAAAAAAAAAATATATATATATATACATATATGACTTTATGCCAGTTTCCCAGTAAGCCTCTTTTATTCACTACTCAATGATAATGCGTTGTTACAGACACTGTCACATGAGTACATAGAAGTGAATAATTACTTAGAAGATGGAAAGTGTTAAATTATATTTGTGTGATAGGAAGCTTAGCTATATTCTTTACTAGCTTCCATTGCCAACTATATTTCTGACACACAAGGTTTTCTCTCCAAAATTGTTAACTTTTTTAGCTAACTAGCACCTGAGAAACAATAGGTATTTGTACCACTTCACTATTGTATATAGTTTTATAATAATTAAAAAAATCCAATGGCCATATTAGAATGTAATTTCAACATATGACTTATTTAGATAGTTTCCCAGAGAATTTTGAAATTAGACTTAGCTGGGAGGATGACTTTGCTCAGCACAAAACTGAAACATAACCATTAACACCACGCTTTTATTTTAACAGACTGCTCAACATTTTTCCCCCTCTTCTGCTTTGTTGCTTTAGTGCACTTGAACTCGCATAAATGCTTCCTTGGATTCTCTGGGCCATCTGATTTCAGTTTGGATCTGATTGCCCATCCTGGATTCATTATGTTATTTATCAGTTCTATTAAAAAATTATGCCATCTAGTTTCTGAAATAAGATGTAAAAAAACTTTTATTTTTGCCAAGTTTTCTTTAGCAAAACCTATGTTACAGCTTCTAAAACGTGAAGAAACAACTAATATAGTTGAGTAGTATATTACTAGGAAAGTGAAAGTATTTTATGGGTACTTTTGGGCAGGATGTGAAAAGGAAGTTGGCACGGTGGCCTTTATGGTGAGGCATCCATTTGCTGTCCCCTAAAGTGAGTCTGTAGCTTAGCTTGTATATAGTTTAAAAAAAAATCCCATGGTCTTTATTTGTTGTCTTCTCTTATATCTCATATGGCACAAATAGAGGGGGGAAGCTAGGAGGAAGCTTATCACCTTGCTATGCTTTTATTTAATTTTTAACCCTTGAGTGCCTAAATGTGGTGACTGGCACCTCACATAACCTTTTGAAATTCCTGATGTCATTTTTATCCTCCTCCTGTCAACCAGCAACCAATAATGTCATGATTGTTGAGGACAAGTTTCATTGTTGATAGTGCAAAGTGTTGCTGTTGTAATGTATATTTATTTTGTTCAAGTTTGAGTACCCTTTTGAACATGTGTAACTTAAGGTGGTGGCCAATATCTATTGATTTACTATGTGAAAACAATAGTACTATTTTTCTGAAAAGTCTTCAACAAAATTTTTTAAAATATTTGGAAAAAAACAAAATGAGCAATTTTGAACTCAAAGTTTTTTGTTTTAAGGGTTGCCACAGTATTCTCAAATTGGTGGTTTTTAATGGACATGTATACATACTATTTACTTTCTTGGTGTGTTTAAAATATTTTTGGATAGACTTATGTCTTAAGTGCATTAAAAGGCAATTGTTTATAATGGAATCGAATTGTTTCATTGGACAGTTTGATGTGCTTATGATTGAGATTTACAATCTGGTTGTACTTTGCTTTTTAACTTATTAACTGTAAATAAATTTTAAAGATTATAGTGTCTTGTTTTTCTAATGTTGAAAATTTTTGAAATGGGTTATTTGCATGTGAATTGGAAACGTTAATTTATAATGTGATCAATTTTGACTTTTGGGGTGAACTTTAAGATCCCGGACATATCAAGTTTTGATTGTGTATCATGTTGGGAATTTATGTTATATTAACTCTTTATTTATCTAATGGATCTCTAAGTTAGTGCTTCGTGCCTAAACCCAAGCCACTACTCAGTTTGCCAGCAATAAAAACTAAAAATGCATCAAAATTCAGCTTTGAATCCTGAAGCCAGTTACCCTGTGATGGTGATAAAAAGTCTAAAGTTCACCTCTCTTGTAATGAAAGAGTGTTCCATATGAGTAGCTGTAGTAAAAGCTGTTCTACTGAATAACAATAGAGCCAGAATTTTCATTAATCTTGAAGGTAGGTGAGAGGTATTAGCAAGAACGGGATTGATGGTACTATGTGGCCGGAATTTGTCTTTGTCCCAGAGTTCCTATCAATAATTGGATCAGCATAGTGTTGTAGCTGAGGAATCTCAGAGCTAGGAAGAAATTAAGGCTTCACCACAGCAAGCATTACAACTCAAGGTTTATAGACATTCTCTGCCTTTGCTTCCTCTGGTACTGAATGTTAAGTTTAGTAAAGGGAACTATCTGGTTATTGTAAGGATTACAAGGAATATTAAAGATGGACACACGGGCAGTACTTCGGAGATGCTATTAATTGGAAGTGTGTGTACTAAGAATAAGTACATATACTGAGAGTGGTCCTTTGTGAGTTTAGCATCCCTAGGAAGGTTGAGGTCTGGGAAACTAAAAGACAAGAGAGGGTAATTTGTAGGTGACTTAAAATCAAAGACAGAAATTTCTATATTACATGTAACCTGGTGACAAACATCAAGAAGTTGGATTAAGTTGATTTATTAGACATTTTCCCTGTTTGATTTATTATTGGTTTCCCTGTTGATTTATTAGACATTTTCCCTGTTTATTAGACATTTTCCCTGTTTCTTGGCTTAAAAAATTGGGTCTTTCATCAATGATATCTCTGAAAGATATTTAAAATGTGCTGTTAAGTGTTTTAAGCTGAGCACTTAACAAAAGTCATAGGTTAAAGTTTTTGATTATAGAATATCCACACAATGGAATTCTATACACAAGTAAGAATAAATGATTTATAATACATTCAATAGTACAAATGAATCCTACAAAGATGATTTTCAGTTAAAAAAAAAAAAAAGCTAGGCATATGAAACAGTTCCATTTACTGTAAGTTAACTTGCCAAATTTCCACACAAAAGTTTTCACTTTGTGTAAGGTCAGCAAAAGACGCTTAAGGACCATGTTAATTTTTGTGTATATAGTTAAAAAAATTGGAATTTGTGTGTGGAACAAAATTAGAATCAATTGGTGTGAGGTTTGTACTTCCCAGGTTAAAGAAAACAAATACATCAGTTAAGTTTGAAATAGCAGAAATCAATTATCAAAAGTAACAAATATCCTCGTGTTTGAAGCACTGACACACTCATCTTTAGATTTTGGGGCTAAAGCCTGAAATTTAGCTCTAATTCC